ATTCATGAGCGGGACAAAAATGACCCAAATGTTCATGTTTTTGAGATGTTAACATACTTTGTATGGGTATTTCAAGGTGCTGAGTTTAAATGTGAATTAAAAATTCCTGTTTTGTGCTTCAAAGTTGATAATTTAATCTTATTTCAGTAAAAAGTATGAGTTTTTTCTGAGTTTTGAATGTTTCAAGGTGTAAACTTTCACGAACACTTAGGCCTATCAGTATTCTAGCATAATTTTCTCATGACATACTTACAATTACACAATTTTGCATTGATTTCAGTGTGAAATAATGCATGTACCTGTTTTATATCAACCTTGAAATAGGAATTAAAATTTAGAGAAAAAAATGAAAAATTGATCTTATTTTTTTAAATTCAAACCATCGGGTGTAAGAATGAAGAAATGAACAGCCAAAATTGAGTGGGCATATCGTTTCACTGCACACCTTATGGCTGTCTCTTTAGCTGTCATCGCATATATACTAAAAGTTATTCGCTCATCGTGATTTTTATTCGCTGTTTTTAGCTCTTAAACTTTACATTTGCTACTTTTTGTCAAACATTTCAATAAAACTTATCAGTAATGTTCAATTTTTCAACTAAGGACGGTAATTTTTGCGATGTACATCCACTGATTCAGGCGATTTTGCAAACAGAGTTGTCGGCCATATTGCCCATTTTAGCGTCGCGCACAAAACTCGTGAAGTCCAAAGTTATGCTGGTTTTCTTTCAATCATTAAAGTGTTGATGGCATCAATAAATACAAGTATATTTGACAGTAATGTGATGATTGAACATCAATAAAAACTATATACATGTGAGACTCATTTATTCAGAAATGTACGTTCTGACGAGGTTTCCCCTTGAAGTTTGCCGAAACGATACCGGATTCAGAGCGCATGCATCGTGGACTTTCATTGGATACCAAATTTGTCGTCAATTGGTTGCACAATCACAACTTTTCAAGTCATTTACCACGAAGGGTGTGGCGCATGCAATTTCGCGAAACCTGGATTCGCGCATCGCTGGCGCCAAATTAGAGGCATAATTGTACTATTTCTACATAAGATATGTCCATGAAACTTCAGGAAAATAATAATTACATTGTTTTATAACAATTAGTTAAATATAAAGCCCCAAAAAATATTTTGTGTTGGAAAAAAACGATATTGTTTTTACTGATAAATTTCGTGTGCGGGACTTTATCGGAAGCGAAGCGCGATGAGTTTGACTTGCCTCCTACTAACCTAAGTACTTTGGAAGATCGAGCAGGATCCCTACAGGGTCCTCCTGATTGTGGTGCTGAAACTGATTCTCCAAGTTTGGTTCGGTTCAGTTCCAGTTCGAATTTATTTCTTTTCCGAACATCGGTTCGGGTTCGGGTTTGGAAGTAAATGTACAATGTACATTGAAAAGCCTATACATATACTTTCGCTGGATCGTTGCCTACGATTAGAACATGTTTACATATCCCCATACGATATCAACAAATACCAACAGTGCTATCAACAAATACTTGCCGAACTTCCGAACCGACCATTTCGGTTCGGTTCGGTTTTGTTTTGTTCGGAAGGCCATGTTCGGCTATTTGGCCCCGTTTAAACCTGTGGACTAGGCTACTGTTCTTAACACTTTCTTGAAAACAGTTTTCCTCCTGACGGCAGCCACAGTGCACCGCATGTGTGAACTCCACGTCCTGACCATAGGTCAAGGATATTTGCGTTGGGAGCCCAGCGGGGTCCACCTGATGCCCCATCACTCTTTCCTTGCGAAGAAACAGTTGGCAACGTTCTCCCCGCCTGACATCTTCGTTCCTGACATCTTCGTTCCTGACTTGAAGATCTTCTCCTCTGTCCCAGAGGACAAGATCTCGTGTCCTATCCTGACCCTTAAGTGGTACCTCCAGTGGACTGCACTGATCCACGGTGATCACCAGGCTCTATAACCACGGTTTTGCCACATCGTCCAGCATCCTGCGATACAATCGCTTGCTAGGTCGTGACGGCCATACGACTCGCATCGTTTGACTGGCCTATCCTGAACTGAGTACACGCCCACAAAGTTCACAGTGTGGCGACCTCTTGGGCCTTTGTCAAAAGATTGCCCCTTGCAGATATCATGCAAGCGGCATGTTGGAAATCCTCCAACACCTTCACCTCCTGTTATTTCAAGGATGTGCTGCAAGCCAATGGCAGAACCATCGTCAGCCCTCTCTACTGCCCCAGTGGCGCAACCGGATCCAGTTCCACCTCCGCTGGCGCCCTGCAGTACCATCCAGTGACGGCTTACTCCATTATGGCAACAGCCAATTCTTCTGGTTTACTTTAGTGGGTTTAATCTTGTTGGCTTTGGGCTCACGCTTCCTTGCGGCCCACTTTTCACATTGTATACTCTTGTTTCATACGTGAACCCACCTTCCTAAAATGGTGCTACTCTGCATATGTAGTAATACTCTACAGGTAAGTAGAGGGCAGTAGAATTCCCCCCACCCCCCACAGAAGCGTGGGTTGATTCTATTAGCGAATACTTACCTGTAGAGTGCCCGCCCGCCTCCCCACTCTCACATGCGCGTTCACTTATGTGCCTTACGCTTGAGAAAAGAGAAAGTATGGCTTGCGGGCTGCAAGGGAATAATGCATAGAGGTAGTAATACTCTACGGGTATTAGTAAGATCAGTGTTCTTTCAACAAAACAAAAAGAAATTACATAGGGATGTGTGTGAATTGTGATCTTTTTTGTGATCCGTGGACAGAACCTTAAGCCGAAAAAAAACTTCTGCTTCCGATTACTTGCCTTTCAAAAATGAGCTAGGTTTACGCACGTGATTATAGTCACCGTGACATCGAATTGCGAAGTAGTTATATCGCGAAGCGATTCGTAAAAACAACGGAGGTTTCTTTTGAAAAAAATAGCGAACGTAAGTAAGAAAACAAATAAGTACAAGCATTTTTTTACGCAAAAGGGTTGTTGAGAGGTATTTTGTGAAGACAGAAAAGACAACAAGATTTTATTTGTATTTATTCAATCATTATTAGGCCAAAAAAAAAATAGTCGGTCTCTGGTCAGACCGAAGTTCCGGAATTGATGCGGCGACGCGGTTTTTTGTTTGTTTTTTGGTTGCTTTTTTTTTTCTTCAAGCTTGTATTGTACAGACAAGGTGGGTACTATTTTGCTTTTTTGTGTCCTCATAGTACATTGGTGTCCTCCATAAATTGCCTTGGTGCCCTTTATCATTTGCCTTGGTGCAATTTCCCCATTCCTTGGTGCTCCTTGGTACAAAAATGTGAGGAGGCGCGGCAAAAGAGGGCGCTGTTGTAGCTTCCGTGTTAATTTGAAGAAAAAAAAAGGTTGACGCGCATGATTAAAATCGACGCGCGCGCTGACCAGAGACCGAGTATTTATTTTTTTGGGGCCTTATTTTAAATTTTTTTTGGAATTGCCGATAAAATGTTTAGGGTCGCAGCCTAAAAATAGGGTCGGTTGGGTAAGGGGAAACAGAAGTGTTTTTTGGGGGGCCTTAAAACAGTGGTTGTATTTAAAATTTCGTAACTCGAAAAGTACATGAGTGATTTGAATAATTTTTGTACTAAAAGAAAGCTGATGAATTGGGCTTTCATATCCTAGATTTTGACAGTGCTACATACAGAACTTCAATAATACAGTAGTCCCGACATTTTTTTTTTTTTACTAACCCTGTATAGAGATCAGTGATTTTGACCCGTTATTTATTGTCGTTCCTGAAACTGCCCTGGCTATAGACCAATCCATTAAGCCCCTCCTTATGGTGTTCTGACCAAACACAGCCATGATTTATGTCCAACATGCATGCACAAAAGAGGAGAGGAGCACGTGTTAAAGGCAGAGTCCATCATTTGCAGCTATCCAAAAAGTAACTGACGAAGTTATTGTAGAAAAACATACTTGGTTTAATGATGGTAAGGGTACTAAACTCCCTGTTGAATTGTTCTTTCTGGCATGCTGTGATTTAGAAGAAAACAATAAAAGAAGGTCATTTCCAACGATGCGTCTAAAGACGTATTTTTTAAAATTACCGTTAGTGCATTGTTTTTAATTCGGCGAAGCCGTGAATGAGTGCACGCAAGCGTTGACATGACTCACACACGCGCGCGGTTGCTATTATTTGTCAGTTCAGCACGTGACATCGTGTAGCTGCAATCAACTGAATGAGAATGTGTCCCGGACGCTGTTTTCCCTTTAGCACCCGAAACGGCCCTGCCAATAACTCCCTAAAGTGCCCAAAACTGCCCAAAACGGCCCTGCCTATTACTCTCTGTAGTGCCCAAAACTGCCCTGCCTATTACTCCCAGTAGCACCTGAAACTGCCCTGCCAATTACTCCCTGTAGCACCTGAAACTGCCCTGCCAATTACTCCCTGTAGCACCTGAAACTGCCCTGCCAATTACTCCCTGTAGCACCTGAAACTGCCCTGGCAATTACTCCCTGTAGCACCTGAAACTGCCCTGCCAATTACTCCCTGTAGCACCTGAAACTGCCCTGCCAATTACTCCCTGTAGCACCTGAAACTGCCCTGGCAATTACTCCCTGTAGCACCTGAAACTGCCCTGCCAATTACTCCCTGTAGCACCTGAAACTGCCCTGCCAATTACACCCTGTAGCACCTGAAACCGCCGGAACACTCAATGGTTTTAGGGTTTCTTCTTTGAATAAACATGTAGTACAGTTGTTAATGGGTTTATTTCTTACAGTGTACATGACCTTTGGCCTTTTTTCTGACCTTTACCTTTTCACTGACCTTTCTCCCTTTATGACCTTTTTTTTTGGTTGTTCATTCATATACATACATACATGTTTCAGTTGGACATATTTTAATAATTTCTGCATTTGAAATACAGTCTGTGAGTACATTGTACATTATTAAGTTGAAGTCTTTTGGATATGACTTTGTTTTGAACAACCTTATGGTTTGATCTTTGAGTTCTTACCTTCTGACCTGTTCCGTTTCTCACTTGCACTGTGTAGCTCGGTATGGAAAAGTTCTGGGTATGTACATGTACTTGTAATATATGTCTTCTGCACGATGTATGTCAAGGAAATGTGTTTTCATTTATTTTCAGATTCACAAAGTGACTCACTGTGGCATGTTTTGTGATTGATAATTGATAACTTGCATGGTTTGGTTCCAAATTAAGTTAGCATTACTCATGCTCATTTTAAAAAGTTTTCTTCTCATACATACAATTATCTAAAATGTACATTTAAAGTGGATGATAAATATTGAATTTCAAAAAATATATATTTTCCAAGATATTTTCGTTACAATTGAAATGGGGACCTTTTTTGATGATGATTGATATGAGAAGCTGATGGAAAAAACACCAATACAGCTGGAAAAGATCAGTTAAGATTTCTCATTATCCACTACGGCAAAAGGTAGGCATTGTATGCAGGTTTTGTGTGAATTTGTCAGATTGTTCATATTCTAATTCTCTGACGACTCCACTGGAATGAAAATGACACAAATGTAAACAAATCCACACATTCATGTTTTTAAAAGACCTTTAGAGATGCTAAGATACAAAAGTGGAGATTTCTGTGCCTCTGGGTTTGTTTTTTGACGGCTGCCAGGAACTCTTGTGTGTTTTTTTCCACTGTACTTAACAAAGTGCTCTAGGCTTGCTTTATTAATCATACATATATGTACATTCTCTTCACGGCTAAAAACACATAACAAAAAAGAATTCTCTAACTGAATGGAGTCTAAACTTTTTTATTATTGTATTATTTTTCTCCTGAATATAGAAGCATAATTTGTATTTATCATGAAAATAAGTGGTTTTCTTTAGTGACAGTCTTTAACAAAATTAAAAAACAAATCCATCAAATTTAAATTATTGAATGCATTCTACATGTTCATGTAAACTGTGACAGTTCAAACGGACTGATCAAGTGATTATAAATGGAAGAATATTGATGACAATTTACAGTAACTTTTTGTTGAAATACCACAGAGTGGTTGTTCATTTGCTTAAACATTCAAAACATTATAAACAGTAATGTCATGGTTTACTATAATCATTGTCGGGTTCAATATGGCAGAGTTGTAACGAGTCACTTATTTTTGTGACTCGAGTCGAGTCATTTTAAAGAAGTGACTCGAGTCGAGTTGAGTCATTAGGTCAAGAAGGTCGAGTCTAGTTGAGTCGAGTCACAGTGTGTAGTCGAGTCCAGTCCAGTCCAGTCAAATATTTAGCTCTAGTCAATTCGAGTCACGAATACTTGAACACTGTATAACAAATAAAGACAAGAGAGAAACGCATTTGTATCACTAACACTAAAAACAGTAAGGCTACCAAGAAGTAAAACTGCGGTCTTATGCTGTCTGGTTCGGCTTCGGATCTAGAATTGTTTCCCTTTAGCTTTGTTATAAGGTCATGACCCACAAATCATGAAATCCAGGATTTTTAATATTTATTTTTGAGGTTTTAGGAGCCAGCAGCAGACAAAAAAATACAAAACAAAAAAAACAGCTGGAAGAATTCAATAGGTCCCAAGAAGCATGTATGCACAAAGAAATCAATTTCAGGGGGGCCTAAACCCTCAAAATAAAAACACACATCAAATACGTGTATTGGATTTGTCCGAATTGTGTATAAAACTATATGCCAGTTAGGCCTAGGCCCCCTACAGCCACTCAAAAAAGAGTACTAAAAGGTAAATAAAATAAAGAAATCTACTGGGCAACTCGGTTAGGGGGCGACTTGACACAATCAGTCATTTCCACACAGACAATTTCTTCATCATTTTCATCCAATAAATCCCCCTGAATATCCGAATTATTCATTATTCACCCAAACACATCAGCTACAGAACACCTACCTGTGAAATTAGTACCTGCTACTGAAAACAGGAAGTGGGAAAATCCTCAATTTCGAGCAAAACTATCAAAAGAACATGACAGATATATCTTCGTGTTTTACATTGCAGTGATCTTAATACAAATGATCAGTGCGCCCTCAATTGACGTATTTTTGAGAGAGAGTTCATTCATAAATCGAGTTTCGCAATGCGTATTTATATCGTACCAATGGGTACGATCGATGGTGAAAGGGTTAGTCTGGTTCGGGATTGTATTTTGTGCGTTCTAGAATCACAAGGTGGGAGTCTGTGACACATATATCTGTACATGACTTGCGGTCGCTATATTGTATTCCCAAAGTGACGTGAACATATTTTGCACGGTAAGTAATTGCAAATATTTTTCGTACAGTTTTGCTTTTATTTTTGGGACTCGTGTCTTATTAGCCTTCACTTGAGTCGAGTCGCGCCGAATCATCTGGTAAGGGACTTAAGTCGAGTCATTTACTCGCAGTGACTCGAGTCGAGTCGAGTCATTTACCCACAGGGACTCAAGTCGAGTCGAGTCACCAAAAATTGTGACTCTAGTCGGACTCGAGTCGAGTCATTAACTCGAGTCATTACAACTCTGTGATATGGTCTGGGGGTTTGTTCATCTTCAGCATAAGATGGAAGCCGCATCTTTGTCTCTGATATATGTCACCCCCTCACCTACTTCTAGAATAAGAAGGCACCTCTCGTTAGCCTTCTAGCATAGTGATTTTTTTTGGGGGGGGGGGGGCATTACGCTATGGCTTATATATGCACTTTGATAGACGAAATACCTTTGTCTGGAATTCCAAATTCTGAAACACAAAACCACCCAAAAAGTTGCCCTGGTTGATCCATAACTCTTAAATGTTTTGGAACAATTGACATTTGGATCATGGGACATTTTTTTGGGTGGAGAATCTGAGGTTTCACTCGCCACCGTAAGTTTTTTGACATTGCGAACGTTGAGCACACTCGATGCAAACTGAGCTGCACGGAGTAATTTAGTCTGGTTTCCCATTCCTGTAGCGTACAGGGTATCACACCTACATTTTGATTTTTTTCACACATTTGCATTTCCAAAAGCAATCGCGTAAGGACCCCCGAAAAATCACAATGCTAGAAGGCTAACGAGAGGTGTCTTCTAATTCTAGAAGTACCCCTCACTCAACCCACACCTCCAATCAGGTGTGCAATGTAGAGCGTGCAGGTTGACCTCCAACATTTGCAAGATTTTACTTGTCAGCATTACATTTATACAACATATCAAAACTATTGTTAGTTGCCAACTATAATAAAATGAAAAGTTTTGACCTCTAGTCTGTTAATTGATCACGCAGATAACTATTTGGTAATCCTAATACAGGAGTCCTTGTCTAAACTAGTTAGTGTTCAGCATCAAGATGTTCACATAAAAAGTGAACGTGAATTGGCGAGACTTGCACGCTCTTTACCGGGGACCTCATCACAACACACAATTGTCTGGTGCGGTATGGTCCAAAATAGAATGATTTGGACATGGTCATATAATCATGTACTGATTGCATCTTGTCATCCATTCATGGGCGTCATGGCAACTGTGGTTGACACACTGCATGTAGTATCACCGACTGTCACCTAATGCTAGCTTTTGTTTTGTTTTCTTTTATTTATATTACATTCAAAGGCAATTATTAGTGTTTTATTTTTCAAAAATTGACGGGGCATCCTGAGGTCATGGCCCATATGCTTAGAGAGCACTGTCACCAGTGCTGTAGCTTAGTTATCTTTGAGTGTAGTGCTCTCTTGAGACCTTGGCAAACTGTTTCTGCAAACATTGCTTATGGTCTGGTTTTACAAATGTTAATCTGTCCCAAATTGATGGTAAACTTGGCACATAAGCAATTGTGGAGATAACCAATTGAAACTGTGTATATCATAAGGTGTAACCCATTAATGCTTGTTCCATTGTTTTACTGTTTTAATCCCGGTTAGAGCTTAAGGCAGGTTAGTTGTTTATCAGATTGTGAAAGAATAAGACCTTTTACCAGGTACTTCCTGGTAATGTGCTAGTTAGATTTATCTGTTAACATTTATCTTGATCATATTGCTCAGATTCTTTTTTACAGTGGAAAATTCAAAGATCTTTTTCCTCCAAATTAACAAAGATCTGTGCTCTTATTGAGTAGTGACTCATTAATGGTAATATCATCAATAAAAAACTTTCACTCTCAATTTTGAGTCATCTGTAACACACTTTTTCATCATTTCATCAAGAAACTGTTACAATGGGCTGTCATTTTCTAAGAAATGTATTGTAAATGTCAAAAAACACCATTATGTGTCACTAATCACGTATTTTTGGTTGGCATGTTGTAGTATGTTAGGTTTGTTTCAGAAGTGTTTTGCATGAGGCAGGCCCCTTGCTCGTTTGAGGAGGCAGTTAGGTTTGGTTGTCTTTATTTGACATGTACTCTTTGTAGGAACTGTAGATAGTACCAGGTGGCCTACTGACGAGAGCTGGTGAAGGGCACCTGGTGCGTCAAAAAGTAGGGACCATGGCTTGGGAAAAAAGTGCCTGTCAAATCACTAGTGTGTGGTGTTATTTCATTAAGCAATATACATCTCACATCAACATTTTGAGATCTTAAAATGTTGGTCAGGTGAAATAGCCACACAAAATGGTGATAAAATCTGGAAGATGAATCATGTTATGTTTTTGGCATTCTTACTACTGAGAAAAAGTTGTGCAGTTCATAGGAAGAACTGTTTCATCTAACATTGAGCTCTTTCCTTTGTCAGTTATCTTTACAATGATAAAAATATGTTTGTCTTTTGTTTGGTGACAGGGCCAGGAAAGTCATGAATACAGTCAGACGATTGAGCTGAAGAAGTATAAAGTCGAAAACAACCTACCAAAAGGGAAGAGTGGCAAGGTATAAATCATAAGAAATGTAATGTTGACCTTCTGAACGTAACTGTCCATGTAGCAACACATGTAGTTTCAATGCACGTGGGCATAAATCAGTGGCGGCGCCAGATTCTGAAATTTCGGGGGGGGGGGGGGCAAGGAAAAAGCCTATGTATGTGTGCCAGTGTTGTAGTCGAGACCAGGCAGTCCGAGACCAAGACCAAGACCAGGCTGACAAAAGCAGACCAAGACCAAGACCGAGACCGACAGTCCGAGACCAAGACCAAGACCAGATTTATAAATAAACACATGTGAATCATCTTTGTACAAGTTATGTTATTAGGGGCCTATGCACAAAGAAAACAGACAAAAATAAAATAAAGAGTTGAATAAATCAATAAATCAATATGAAATTTAATGAAGGGTCACATTACTGAACCAACTGCAACTTTAATAAAAATAGTACTTCCACTTCCACTGTTTAACCGAGTTAAATTAAATTGGGCTAAAATGCACATAAAAACAAATCCATATTGAAAATCAATCATGAAACACATATTTTTGTGTTGTTTGGACAGTTTTGGACACTAATTTAGCCTTATTAGACTTTTAAAGAAATTGAAACAAACATGTCATAGACATTAGACAATAACAATAACAACCATGCGAGGAAGAAAACCTAGCTAGGCCTACATCGGGTGATGACGCCGCACATGCTTGATGAAGGCAGACGTTGTCCCTGCCTCATCGCTGATGCTGGTTCTTTTCGGGCAAAAAACACAAACTGTGTTGGCATCAAGGTACTCTTTGTGGTCCTTGTACGCATACAGTATGATTGCCGAATTGGCAGACATGACTCAAATTAACTCCAACTGTGCGTAAAAAAGAGCAAGCTTTCTCGCAACCGAATCAGGCACGCATGCTTCCCACATAGCATACATAATTTGTACAACGTATACACTGCACGCGTCTAGTTACCGGACCACGCAATATGTGACGACAGAGTACGGGTACCGGTTGCCCTGCAAACCATGCATTCATTACACGTCTTTTGACTGACGGTAACCAGTGGCAATAATAATTATATGGCTACGGCTACTCACCATTATGCGTATAATAGATAATGCACAAACGAACGAGGTATCTGCCAAAGCTAGCCGTAGCCAAGTCAAACGTAGTAGTCGGATTATGTACGTCAGTGCAGCCAGTATGACGGTCGCCAGAACAATGGAACATTAACGGCGGTATTATTCTGGCGGGATTTGGATTTCTTTAGGCAACAACTGCAAGTGCATTTTTATATTGGTCTCGTGCTGGTCTCGGCCCAAAATTCCGAGAACAGTAGGTACGAGACCAAGACCAAGACCAGCGTTTTTTCCAAGACCATGCGTGGTCGAGACCGAGAACACGTTCAAACTGGTCTCGAGACTGGTCTTGAGACCAAGACCAGTCTCGACAGCTACAACACTGACGTGCGCGCGTACCATTATCAATGGTTCGGAAATTAGCCACTAGAGCAACTTAGAGGTGTAGTCGTGTTTATGAACGAGAAATGTATCAAACTGCAGAATGGTGTATAACAAAATGTATAACAAATGTATAAAGACATTGGCTGCACACTATCTACGGCTGTATAAATGCATGTGTGGCATGTTTTGTCTTAAGTTACATGTACCTTACCTTACCTATCCTCTTCGGGCCCAGTGGCCCATAAGGCTGCAATGATCTCTCTCCAGTGCACCCTGTCTTTGGCGATTGGCTTAGCTTTGCTCCAGGATGTCCACCCCAGTGACTTTCTCTCCTTCTCCACAGTTCGCCTCCATGTTGTCTTAGGGCGCCCTACTTTTCTTCTGCCTTCTGGTACCCATGAGAGGGCAGTCATGCAGTGGCAGTTTGCATCCATCCTTAGTACATGGCCAATCCATTTCCACCTCCTTTCTTTGACGTCATCACTGATCCGTTTCATGCTGGTTTTCTTAAGTATGTAAACATTGAATATGACATATGGCCATCTTACTTTTAGTATTCTCCTTAGACATTTGAATTGGAATGTATCCAGCCTCTTATTATCACTTTCATTGATTGTCCATGTCTCGCATCCATAGAGCAGGACTGATATTACAAGTGATTTGAAGAGCCTTATTTTGGTTCTTAATGTGATTTTGTTGGAGCTCCATATTTTCTTGAGCTTAGTGAAAGATCCCATTGCCTTGCGAATTCTGTTGCCCCTATCATCTCCCCCTCCACCTTGTTTGCTGACATTGGCGCCTAGGTATGTATACTTCTCCACTTCATTAAGTTGCTGACCTTCTACGACTATCCTGTTGTTGGATTTGCTGTTTATTTTCAGCACTTCAGTTTTCTTGGTATTAATCTTAAGCCCAGTTTTTGCTGCAAACTCAGTTAGCTTAGCTACTTTAGACTGCATGTGTTGAAGATTTGACGAGAAAAGTGCAATGTCATCTGCAAATTCCAGATCCTCTAATTTCGATGTGAATTTCCATCTGATCCCTGTGTTGTTTCCTTCTGTAACATAGTTAATATCCCGTCTTAAGTACCAATGTTTTAATGAGGATTAATGGCGCAGCTTACTGCGCCCTCTAGTGTCGAAGTGTTGTCGTCTGACTACAGTTTATAAAAACCTATGTCAGACACAACACAAGACACAAAATAATATTGTTAAAACTGAATGTTATTTTAATACTGTGCCAAAATAGTGAGATTCATGTTAAACTCAAAAAGTGAATATCATTTCAGAATATCTGCAGAAAAACCCTGGGGGGTCTTGCTATGGACATAATGGTCTTAGAAAACAGATTGAGTTTTCCAACGACCAACTTTCATCACCGTGTCAGAATTCTGAGTACACATAGCATTGGTAGCACCCGTAGGTCGGAAGGACTTAGCAGAATAAATGTGTCTTGGGAGACCGGCCAATAATATGGCTGAGCAACCGTGCAACCGGCCAATAATAATATCTGAGCAACCGTGGTGGCTGGTATGGCTCTGAAAGGTGTAACGAGAGTGAGAAAACACTGGGCTACTTTGTTGAGGGCGGATTAAATCAGTTCTACCAGTATCAATGTAGGTTTTAAGGGCAGCCACAGGGTCAATGGCTCCATCATCAACATTTGGAACAGTAATTTCAAAGCCTGATCTAGATGAATCATTCTTGATTCCATGCAAAGTTGGAGTAACCGAACCATCAACATTAAAGTGAACATGTCGAGCGTATACTCCACACTGCAATATGATGGGGTTTTATTGAGACTTACCTCAGGGTGGCACAAGTAATGCTGGCGAGCGGAGCACAGGAGCAAGAGAAAACAGCAAGTGCATACATCCTCCAAATTGCTCGAGTTAGAATATTTTGGTACTTTAATAAGCTGTGCATATCAGTGGAAGGATAGCCGACTGTGGGGCAGATAGAACTTTTGAATTAATCAAAGTATACTGCGAATTTAAGATCGAAGTCTTGGCGCTATTGGTGGTATTGTGCATTATGTGGCGCAAAGTCGTCGTTCAAGCTGGTCTCAGCGTTGTACTTAACAAATGGGATAAAAATGCGCTCGGCCCAGTCATGTACATGTATACACATGAAACATCGCCCATTGTCGGTTTGACAGGAAAATATACAAAGTACATAAGTGAGCATGGTCGTGTCACAAAGCACAAAATAAAATGTAGTACCGTGACATTGACTACAATTATCGTCATTTGAGACCGTTTTAATTACATCAAAAAATTACATCAATTTAATTACTCCAAAAAAAAAAAAAAAAGGAGCTCAGGCTACCTGAGGTTAGGGGTGGGTGAGATAAGGGTGAGATATGGGGTGTCGAGGAGAGAGAAATAGAGAGAAAAGGGTTAGGATTTTGGGGTCAAGGTTCGGAGCTAAGAATCTTTTTACCCATACCTAAACTAAATAGTAGACTCTGGAACCTGAACAAAGCAGCGGTGCAAATAGTTTACTATTTTTCAACCATCAACATCAACAATCAACAATTATCATCAACATCAACAATCAACGATTAACATCAACAATTAACATCAACAATCAACATCAACAATCAACCTAGACGTCAACAGTCAACATCAATAATCAAAATCAACATCAACAATCAGCAATCAATCATCATCAAAAATCAACATCAATAACGAACATCAACAATCAACGTCAACAATCAATATAAATCAACATCAACAATCAACATTAACAATCAAAAATCAACAATCCCAAAATTTGGAAGATAATTGATGATCTTCCAAACTTATGTAAAATTAGTGTTTAGTAAAGAAAGATTATTTCTGATACTCGTCTGAGTCTTTGTATTTATTCTCTGCATAATTACTACACGCGCTATTTTTCAACCCTTAACCCTCAACATCAACAATCAACAATCATCATCATCATCAACCATCAACCATCAACCATCAACCATCATCATGTACAATCAACATCAATAACAATAACCAACATTAACAATCAACATCAACAATCAACAGTGAACAATGCGAAAATTTGGAAGATAATTGATGATCTTCTAAACTTATTATTGTTTATTAAAAGAAAGGTTATTTCTGATACTCCCCTGACTCTTTTATTCATCCTCTGCATAATTACTACACGCGCTATTTTTCAACCCTCAACATCAACATCAACATCAACATCAACAATCATCATCAACATCAACATCAACAATCAACAATAAACGTCATAATCAACAATCAACAATTAACAATCATCATCAACATCAACAATCAACAATCAACATCAACAATTAACATCAACAATCAACATCAACATCAACAATCAGCCACGACATCAACAGTCAACATCAACAATCAAAATCAACAATCAGCAATCAATCATCATCAAAAATCAACATCAATAACGAACATCAACAATCAATGTCAACAATCAATATAAATCAACATCAACAATCAACATCAACAATCAACATCAACAATCAACAATCCCAAAATTTGGAAGATAATTGATCTTCCAAACTTATTAAAGAAAGATTATTTCTGATACTCGTCTAACTCTTTGTATTTATTCTCTGCATAATTTCTTCACGCGCTATTTTTCAACCCTTAACCCTCAACATCAACATCAACATCAACATCAACAACAATAAACGTCATAATCAACAATTAACAATCATCATCAACATCAACAATCAACATCAACATTCAATATCAACAATCATCATCAATCAACATCAACAATCAACATCAACAATCAACATCGCCAATCAATATCAACAATGCGAAAAAGCCATATGTTCTGTTAATCAAACAGACATGAACCTCTAGGCATCTGGTGACTTCTGACCTTTCAACATGCAATTAAAGGACTTTGCTCACTATGCCGCCCTGCAATTGTTTTTCTCGGTGGTAAACACTGAGTAGGACTTAACATTTCATGGGAAATCTTGATCTCTGAATGGTCTCAAAAGACTTCAACAAGACCCTTACTCAAAAAATACCTCAAAAAAAATACATGTACTTGAAAGTTAACCTCAAAATGTTATCAGTATCTTTTAATAAAATAATATTGTGTTTGAAAGTTTGAGCAATTACAAATGAGGACTTGGATGTCTTGACTACAACACTGATACCCATGAAATACACGATGATTAGTGCCAGTTCTGCATTCAGGGATACAGAAACCAATAATCAAGGGGGCTTAGAATACAGTTGCATACCCAGGATTTCCTGTAAATAGTAGCTGACTGGCCAGCTGATTCAACTTCAAAAGGGAGAAGGGGATGGTGGTTTGGATTCAGGTTTTGGTATGGATTAACATCTTTATTGATATGAGCTCTTCCCCCCCCCCCCTATTTTTGTTTTCTGCTTTCGCTTTAGGGGATGCTGTTTTTACCCCTTTTCTTTCTTTATAATCCTTGGAGGGAAGAGGGATGTGTAGACACCCCATCAATGTAAAAGACAGGCATAAACAGATATTCAGCATCTTTTGGTGGGGGGGGGGGGGGGAATGACCCTTGTTGGCCCCCATTTCCTCCACCCACCGGATCTGCCAATGCAGTCCCATTCAAATTGTAACTGAACTGACACTGGCACTTTGAGAATTGTCAAATGTATGTAGATTTAACAGTGAATATACAAATTGCTGCATAAATAAAAAAAAATATGATGGCTTTCAATGATTTTTCCGTTTGGCAGTGGAATTGGTGTTTTTGTCTGACACCATACAAGAACAACAATAATGAGCAAAGGGAGCCAAATTTCGAGCTCTACTGCAAGACTCAAGACCAGATGGATAAATGGGTGGACAGCATTACATTAGCAAAGTAAGTATTGCACATTCTAATCTGCTTGTTTTATCCATAAAGTATAACTGCATGTGCATTATTCCCCTGCAAGAGCGCTATCCATTCAGAAAGAGGATTTTCCCAAAGTACCTTGCGGTTTGCCGGCCATGACACTTTCATCCTACTATCATTTCTACTATCATCCTAGCCAGCAGAGTGACACTTCGCTCTCTAGGCAAGTCCCTCACTCCCTATTCTACTATCATCCTTGCTAGCAGAGTGACACTTCACCTTCTAGGCAAATCCGTCACTCCCTATGGGGTGCTGTGGTCCAATGGTTATGGTGTTGAGTCTTGAGCGCCTTGAGTACCTAATTGTTGGTAGATACGTGTGCTATGTAAGACTCCGGTATGATATTATTATTATACTGTCATCCTAGTCAGCAGAGTGACACTTTGCCCTCTAGGCAAGTCCCTCACTCCCTATTCTACTTTCATCCTAGCCAGCAAAGTGACACTTCGCTCTCTACGCAAGTCCCTCACTCCCTATTCTACTATCATCCTTGCTAGCAGAGTGACACTTCACCCTCTAAGCAAATGCCTCACTCCCTAATATACTATTGTGCTCGCCAGCAGGTTGAAGCTTTGCCTCCTAGGCATGTCCCTCACTCCCTAGCCAGCTATAAATGTGATTCCTGTTAAGATGCATGCCTGCAAAGTCCACAGTGTAGCTCCCTTATCGGCCTGTTGCAGTGGTATGCCACTTTCAGACATCCTGCAAGCCACATGCTGAAGTCAACTAGCATGTTCACAGCTTGCTACCTCTGGGAGAGGGCCCCCCCCCCCCCCCCCCCCCCCCCCCCCGTCTTGTGAACGCGACTATTTATCGCAACTAGTCGCAACTACTGAAATTCACTAGTCGCCTAGGCCTAGCCATATGGTGGGTGGGCTGCAAGGTTCTGTGGGAAAAGAAATCACAGTGAACGGCTTACCACCTCAGGGAATAATGTCTAATGTAGTAATGCTCTATGGGTAAGACGAGAGCATTGCAATCAACCATTTTGTACCATAGCTCGACTAGCACTCATTGTTAAATATTGACTTGATTGACAGCTAAGTCAACTTTTGATTATGTCATTATTTGACTCTGACTCTCACAGATACAGGCACAAGTATACTCCCATGCATTCAGGGTGCATTTTGCAGGATTAGAACCCAGCCTAGCCATCTGGAAGCCTGTCTTTATTGATTGGTAGCAGATCTATGTTTGTCTTGCCTGAACAAAGTTCAGGACAGAGACCATGTGATCACTATGTCTGTACGTATGTCTGTATTTCCGTATGTCCGTGCTTACCATTGACCACTGGTGGGGTACTTGAACAAAAGGAACTGTAACCCACTAGTAAAATCTTGAAAGGGTACGCCACAACGAAATCTTTAGAAATAGGGATAAAAGGACAACAATGCTCCTACCCCGAACTGTCCATCCGCTAGAACCACAATTCCGTCTGGCTGGGATGTCCGTATGTACATGTATATATATGTGGTATGTTGGTTAAAGCTTAAAAAAATTGCTCTCATTTGAAAAGTTAAAGTCCAATTGGAACCAAACTTGATTCCTAGATGCAACACGGGAACCTTCATATGGTCATGATGTCAAAGTGCAATTGGAGCTAAACTTGGGTAATAGGTGCAGCATAGCAACCTTCATATGATCATGATGTGAAAGGGCTTATGCTCAGGTCAAAGGTCATGTCCGGTCATTATTAGCAGTTCGTACAATTCCACCCTCATTACTACCCACAATTATTTCTACACTGATCAGGGCCCTCTCATCCGCATCACTACCCCTTGCCATTGCCACACTTCAATGCACACCTCACTCTATCAAGAAATTCAAAAGAAAAGAGGCTAGACGTGTCGTGTAATATTTTAGAGAAATAATGTTGCATCCTGATGCCAATTTTTTTCATCATATATTATCTCAATGAAGGTCAGTCATTGCAAAAATGTTGAAAAGACATGAATCTGGGACTGAGAAACATTTTCATTTTGTTAGAAAATACTTTGAAAATGCACTCAACTCTCTATATACTTTGTACAGAACCAAAAGAGTGGTGTCTGGATACTTCATTTTTCGGATTTTAGGCCCAAAGACTCTCCCTGAGAATGGATAACATGCACCCTTGCCTTGCTGTGTTATCACTGTTTCCCACATAATTACAGTGTCTTTGTTGTTTTTTTATGTTAGGGATAACATCGTACCTATGCCAAACAGCGAGCACAAGTATGAGTACGTCAGTTTTAAGGATCCCACTTACTGCCAAGAATGCCAAAAGCTCCTGAGGTAAATTTGTGTTACTTTTTGTTTCGAAAGTTGTTTTAGGAGTGCGTTTGATTGAATCCTCTTTGGTTGACTGGAGAAAAGGTAGAATGTTTAGCCTTACGAGCCTAGCTAATTGAATGCTCACATGCCTTTATTTGATCCTAATGTGACTAAATGTCAGAAGCCAATCGGCTATGGGAGTACAGATATGGTTTCTGACAATGAAATGCTTAGTGATAGACATAGACAAATAGTCCATTTCCATGGTTTCAAGATCGTCTGCTTTTCCAGCAATTGCAGTTGTGATCGAGTGAGAATTGATGTTACTTATAGCCCTTTTGGTCAAAATTAAATGCAAGTTATGGGGGAAAAAGTTATGGGTAATGATATAGACCAAAAACAAAGTTGGGGGTTGGTTCTGTAATTTTTTGATATGTTGGGATTTTTCCACTGTCCACCATACCGGTATATTGAAATTAATTACACATGCATGGTATTTAATTCCTCCACTCCGCTGATCCAGTTTAGTAAGCAGTTTGCAGCAGCTTCTTTTTTTTGTTCATTGAAATCTTTTTGTAAACTATTCAAATTTCTGTGGATGGCTTTTAGAGGTCAGTTCTTCCAAGGCTACAAGTGTCAGGTGTGCAATATCAACGTGCACAAAGAGTGTCTGAACAAGGAGACTGTCCAGCATTGTCAACAGCGTCAGGGTAAGAAACCTCTGCAATGATTAGGAGTCACTGTAATACATATCAGGGATGAATTGCAGAAAACGTTACCTGCAACAGGCCCATTTTAACCAGTTTTTGTTGCACCATTCTTATCAACATTCCAGAATCTTGTCATCCAGTATGTTTTCAGTTTGTGAACAATGCTGATAATTTCATCACAACATTCCTTAAACCTTCATTTGCACAGCATTTATGTATTGTGTTCCCATCTGCCATCTTTCCTCTCCCCTTTATGTCTCCATGTCTCCATGTCTTCATGTCTCCATTCCACTTGGGCTTCAACGCATGACTCTTGGAACTTGAACACCACTTGTAATATTTCAAAATTGTGTAGCTGTGTGTGGCCCAGCACTTGTATGGTTATTACCAAACTTGTTCACAGTTGGGCATGTGACCATTTGCATAGGTTCCCAAGTGGTGAAGGCCATCAAGAAATACCAAGGTATTCCCCGCCCGCCCCCAGGAGCCAACCCCCTTGTCTTTGAGTGGAACGAACTGATCGAGATCCTCAACAAAGAGGACCCCAAATGGTGGAAGGGACGATCCACCCAGACTTATGAGCAAGGATTCTTCCCGGCTGAACATGTGGTATGTAGCAACTTTCTTAATTCTTTGTTGTTGAAAATGATGTGTCCACACATTTTTGGGATGGCATTATTGTTATAATTGAGTCCCATAATTATACAGACGTATTTAAGCAGGTGCGATAGGACATAAAGATAAAAAAAAATAGACCAAGTGGCCCAAGTATGTGGGCTTAGATTAAGGCAAAAATCTAAGTTTTTGCACAAAGAGGTGTGCTGAAAATGTCCAAGAATTTGTAACATTTCATGTTGATCTTAAGCCCGGCACACTTTCCCAAATATACCAGTTGCCCGGATCACCCCATAACTGGTACGTTTTTTTTTCACCGTTGCGGTTGGACCGCAACGTTACCTGCACGCATGCCCGATACCGTCCTATAATCAGTCACATGATTATCAGTCACATGATGACCAGTCACATGACGACAACCATGTGACTTCCTTTGTGAATCTGATTGGTTAACATGAATATTGTGTCCGGTGAAATCGTATCCGGTGAAATTGGATTTGAAAAAAAAATCAAACATGTTTGATTTCATCCGGTTGCCCGGTACACGGTCAGATCAGTGCAAATTTTCAGAGCACACCTTTGTACAATGGCCCGATGATCTGGTGAACTGGTGAAATCGGGAAGGTGGTCACTGGGCTTTAGGCTGCAGTGCGTCCAAACATTATTATTCTTTACTAAACTCTTTTCAAGTACTGAGTCAGCACAGTCTTGGTGCTAAGGTGTGATTATGTCCACACAATCCTATATTTCAATATAGGTGGGGACACAAAGAAGGACACTTACAACACTGTTGCACCCCCCAAAATAAGTATCAATTTGAATGGCTAATTTCAAGCTCTACTGAACTAATGAGCTTTCCATTAAGGCATCATTTTGGAGTTACACTGACAAATATATCTTCTTTTTATTGCCATTTTTCTAGCTGTACAGAAGTTATTCACTTTTAAAGTACCTATGTAACTATCAATGTTGTAGGAACCAGTCTACTCGCAGAGTGGATCTGTTGTTCGCAAAGAGCATAGACTGTGCAACTTTACTACTTGAAGCCTTGAGTGCTAGAAAGATGCTGAAAATGCAGCTTTGCATTACTATTGTCTCTGTAGAGAAATAGTACATGGTGACCACTGTCTGCTTCAATGTGTAGGACATGAGAGACTAGAATTTGAACATGTAATGTTTTGATGTGGGCATCAGAATCTGGCGTTCAATTGTTGGGGCATGTCTCTCTTTGTCAAAGCTGGGGGGATGATTCTTGCACATGGGGTCCATAAATAAGTAGATTCTAGTATGAACACCACCAAGTGTCAGATAAGCTTAGCCTCCATGAGAACATCTTGCTACTGGACTTAATGTAAGAAACACATTTCAAAGGAATTATAAGTCCATACCTGGTTTTTGTTCACATTTCTAAAAGATATTTTGTTCTTTTGTGAGACACTTCTGATCTAGCTGGTTCTAATTTTACTCAAATTGTGTGTAAAATTTATTGTTCATACAAAATTCCAGCAAATTTTCAACAGCATTTTCACTGCAGTTTAAGTAGCCTTGATTGCAAGGCTGTGTGAGTGCCGTATCAGCATATGATCATCGCTGGCTGTGCATAGCTAGCCTCCCCGTACCGTACCTGGCACCGCTTGGCAAAACCCGATTGGTCACACGCACAAAGCTCTCAGTGTATACTGTATGTACACACTGTCACATTGTACGTGCACACACACTGCCCCCATGTGAGTCCCAATTACTCTCGGTTGTCCACCCATCTTCGTAAACACCGGCAATCGTGGACCCCTATTGTCCCAAATCGTCATTGCTTTGTTTGTACTTTTTAACAACAGCTCTCATTGGTTTTGTACATGAATTTTAATCGTGGACATTCGGTCAATCGTGAATGTATTGTTTGTGCCCAAACCCTTTTGTCCTAGGTCCACGATTGCCGGTGTTTACATAGTCACGCACACACACAGCTCGATTCACAGCCTAGATTATTCTGACACTGAGAGGATATGTAAATTATCCAGTATGAATAATGTATGTTCCTCATCGGCCATTCACGCCACAGATCAATGATTGTTGGTTTAGTAACGCAACGCTGGCATGCGTGAAGCGACCCACAGCATGTTCTTAAACAGCGTGGCGCGTCCAGTAAAGGGCCAATCAGATCTGTTCGATCGTAAGCAGCTCATTCTCATTAACCTAACTTCAAAACCCAGAAGTAACAGTTGAATCAAGGTTCTGGTCCTTTTGGACCAAGGGCTGTGGCTCCTGATGGGCAGGACTGCATGTGTGCATGCACTGTTAGCTTCGTAGAGCGACAGATTGGAGTTGGCCGTGTGTGTGGACGTGGAGCCCGGGGCCAGCGATGCCTGCATGCTGATGCAGCACACACAGCCTTGCATCCAGTTTGAGTGGCGTGAATAGTGTGTATGACATACTGTTTATGACAAAACCAAATAGTTTGCGTTTTCATTTTTAAGAGTTGCATTGATTCACATGTAGTTGCCACTTCACTGGTCCTACTGTAAAAAACACTTACCACCTTGACATCAGCAGCCATTGCATTGAATATGTACATTGTAGTTCCCTAGTCCCTGACAACAGTATTTTAGTATACATATAAAACATGGTTTGAGGGTTGGTGGTCGATTTTTGGTCCCCTGAGGTAGTAGAAGTTCACAAACTTGTGGGAGCAAGTTTGTTAACTTCCAATACCGAGGGAGCTAATATTGACTATCAACCCGAAATACAAACAATGTTTTATTTGTTTTACATAGCGCATACATATTCAACAAACTTTGTCGAGTTACCCATCATTTTTCAGCAAAACATTGTTATGCATGTGCCACCATCTTTTCGTGTAGCTTAAACTAGGGCGATGCTCCAGCATGCATGCGCACCCCTGTGTGCTAGTTCCACAATTCGGGCGATTCACAATGCAATGTGCCACCAAGAGTTTGCCACGGAGAGTTCATTTTTCGCAGTACATTGTGGGAGATAGTCGACAAATTCGCAGCGCGGGACATTTGGAATTGTAAGTTTTTCCGGTCGGTAGTTTCGTAAGCGTATGATTCTTTTCTTTTTATATTTTTTTTTTTTGTAAGTCAGTAGAACCCCATGCCCCAATCTTTAACATATTAGCACAAGATGTCTACTGACACTCATTCAAATGGGCCATGTTTTGTCGACCGTAAACTTGAACTAGACTTATGTTTGTGGACAAACACAGGGCTGTGTCGGCGATTTTTTGGTGACGTGACATGTAAAGTTTCAAGCATAAGTTCCATCCAGGAAGAATGTGTAGTTCTGTTTATAATAAATGTTGGCATGTAATATGTGATTACATTCTCATAGGGCTTTGAATTATGACGTCACATGTCACATGATGACGTCATGATGACGTCACATCAATTTCATCCATAACACATCCCAGTCTAGGTAAGTTTGAACCCAATCAGACCTGTAGTTCTGAAGATATTGGCCTTCAAAATATGTTTATTTTTATATGACGTCTACAAGACATCCCGGTCTAGGTACATACCAACTTTCAACCCAATCGGACCTGTAGTTCTAGAGATATAGCCCGATCTGTCAGATCTAGCCGAATTCTACTAGAAAATGGTAACAACAGGAAAATCGCATATAATGTGATGTCACGTGACTCATGATGACGTCACGATGATGTCAATGTTCGGCACACATCTTCAGATGCTGGTCTAAGAGTGTGCCGAGTATAAAGGCAATCAGATTGATTATCGTGCCCAAAGTGCCTTGGACAAGAAAAACGTGTACAAATGCTATGGGCAAAATGACTGAAAAAGAAAACTAGAGCTGTATGTCTGTTTGAAAACAGAACACAGGGCTTTTTCGCATTTTATAAATGTTTATGCTATGTTTGTCCTTTGCAGTCACTTTTTAGAGTGTTTAATACAGTTAAAGGTTGATTACAATGCTTAGAATATTTCCAAAAATAAGCTTTATCATATGACGTGACATGCCCTGCGATGACGTCATCTTGAAAACCCTTCTCAATGCATATTTTGTCACTGTGGTCTTGGTTTGATCAAGTTTAAACCAAGTTTACAGTCAATCCGATGAAAGGAAGTGTGCAATTGTGGAAGCGGAATAAAATTATAAATATTAAAAAAAACATTAAAAAATCAACCGATGACGTCATCGTGACGTCATTTCGGATTTTCCATACTAGTACCATTATCTACCTATCCACCAAGTTTCATGACGATCGGACCTTCCCTTATATCCGTTTAAAAAAAAAAAAAAAAAAATGCATTTTTGATGACATCATGATGACGTCACACATTTTAAAATTTTGTGTGCATATACCTATTACCTAACAAACATAATACAAAAAGAATTTTGAATTTAGCACGTTGCGTTCGTGAGATATGGCTTAAAGGTCCAAAAATTCAAAAATTCATATAAAATCACACGATGACGTCATCTGACGTCACCTCCATTTTTACCTGTAACACATCCCGGTCTACCCTCATACCAGGTTTCAACCTAAATCAGACTTACTGTTCTGTGGATATAGGACTTCAAAATATGCACGTTTGTGATGACGTCACGTGACCCCTGATGACGTAATCATGACGTCACTCTTCGGGACACAACTTTGCCATAAGGACAAAGCATATGCTTAATTTGAATGATGTATGACAAAGTTCAATGCCAAAAGTGGCGTGTACTAAAATCGTGCACAAAGTCTATGGGATTTTTGGCACAAAAAGAAGATGCCCCCCCCCCCCTAAAAAAAGAAAATCAGAACTAAAAGAAAGGCTTTTTCGCAAATTGCGAAAAAAGCCCCCCCCCCCAAAAAAAAATCGGATCAAAAAGAAAGGCTTTTCGCAAATTTGCGAAAAAGCCCAAAAAAAAGAAGAAAAAAAATCTTCACAAAAAACAAAGGCTGTTTTGGCTGGTTGCCGAAACAGCCAAAAATGGACTCTCCGTGGCAAACTCTTGGTGGCGCACTGCATTGTGAATCGCCCGAATTGCTTTGTAAAGCACGTGCATAGTGGACTAGTGCACAGCCAACTTGTGCATTATTGTATTACTCATGCATATTTACCTTGTGCATCTCTCCTCGTGTGCACACATGTAAACTAGTGGCTGACACATGAATGTGAATTGACCAGCGAGAATTTGACTCTCAATTATGATATGTATGAGGTATAGTAATATTGAAGTACATCATTAGAAAAAAAAAGCTAGTGCCTGCAGATGAATGTATATATATATATATATGTAGTGTTTACTATCCAGTAGTATTTTGCCTGGTTCCCAACATGACATCTGGTTTTTCCCAGGTGCCGCAGAGACAAAGCCAGGCTGCTGGTCACTTGGTAAGCTGCTGTTGTATCTAATAACCACAGTTGTATGCATGTGAACACATCTCACTGCCCTGAATTAACTGAATAACTAGTATGAAAAGCGGTCTCATCTATATATAAAAGAGAGAGTTTAACTCGGCCTCCCAGACGATGTTTGCGCCAGAATCGCTCCACGTCCGTGGAAAAATGCGGAGGGTGTCTTCCGCCGGGTCGGACACTTCGGGTCATCCTGATTTTCCCGTACGGACCGGCGATCCGTTTCGTAGATTTTTCGTGACTGTGTTTTGCGCAGGAATTTGCCGTCGTGTGCGCTTTCACGTTGACTGCCTGGCCGCCCCCTGTGCTGGCCTTTCTGCGTGTCTAGACTGTGCGAGGTCAACGTAGGGGTTTCGTTTACGTGTTCTACTCGGCCGTACTACCAAAGCGTTCACCAAATGGTAGTATGGGGTGACCTTGGCAAAATATTTTTTCTCCATGGTGCGTGGCCACCAAGTGTCCCTATTCTTTTCTGTGCTTTGCTTGCCGCCCCTGCGCCGAGTGCAACGAATACTCAGAAGGACTACACATGCCTTGCGCGGTCTGACCAATCGAAAGTCTACACTGTGTGGTACTTCCTGGCTATGCGTAAAACCGTCGATGGCAACGCGTACTGCAGCCTGCTCCACACCCTGCAAACGAGGTTGAGTCTACGGTGCTCGCTATTTGAAGCACAAGCATGTGACGTCGCGTGATAGAGTGCTGTTGCTTCCATAATGTGTTTACAGCTCCATGCTTCCACCACCAAGGCTGAGCGTTGTGAGTTCGCTGCCCGCCACGTATAATTCAGTGTCGCGTTATAATTTCGGGGGCCTGTTTGGGATCAACGAAGGATCGATGCATTGCTTCAACTTATCGCGATCTTAAACGCAGTCACAAAAAAATCGACAAAAAAGACTTTAGTGTCCGACCCGGTGGAAGACACCCTCCACATTTTTCCATGGACGTGAAGCCATTTTGGCGTCGCGGGAGACGGAGGCCGAGTAAAACTTGCTCTTATATAGATGGTTGAACCAACTTGAATAAAAGTTGAATCGACTTTTTCCTCGTCAGACGGTCTCGCAAATTGTAAGAAGTTCAAGTTAACGTTTGTTGAAGAGTCCAATACTGAAACTTAATTATGACCTTCCTCCATATTTTATGGTCACACTCAACATTTTCATTTCAAATGACACCTTCACGTTTTATTGCAATATTATTTATTGTCAAAACTGTACAATCAGGCTTCGCCTGTGTACTACGGTAACCTTTTCACTACGTTTTCCAAAATGCGACTGCCTCACAAAAAGCCAATTTAACAGACCAACGGCAACATTTACAGACAGTTGCCACGGTACATAATTATCATGTGCGTAAATCGACGGGGACAGGGGGAACCCGCCCCCCCCCCCCCCCACATTTTCAGGCGGGGGACATTGTTTGGCCCCCCCCCACACTTTTTCTTCCCCGAATAAAAATATTGTAGCCTACAATAATGATTCTCATTACTCAGAATACATGTAGCTGATTCAATTACTCCAAACTCCAAACTTTAAAAGACGATCTTTTGCTCAAATTGGTTTTAGTGGTCAGAAATTGTCTCAGATCACACCACATAAATTGCTTTTCTATAACTGCATGTCTCCCCAACTATATCCCCCATTTACATTTAACTCCCCACATTTTCATCCCCAACACTACGCCCTACCCGATCTATGATCGGGTAAACCAGCTTGTCTATGATACATGTACACTAAGCACAGCAGATCCAAACATTGGTTGTAAATGTTGTTCCAATTTATTTTTTTTTATTTTTAAAATTTAAATAGCGCAGTTGGGTAACAGAACACGGTTACCACGAGCATTTTTTCGTCAGTCCCGACCAAAATGTGCACATTTCTCGCAGAGAAAATTTAAACGGAGAGCTTGATAGTGTTTAATCAAAATTTTGGGAACAAATTTTCTGATTGTCTTAAAGCATAGTGTCATCGACCCTGATCACAGAATGGCCATTCTTAAGTTTTGCTAGATCAGACAAAGGTCCATTTGCGCCATGCCAAATGTGGCCAATTTTGCATTTAATCAAAATTTTGAGAACAAGAACGAAACCAGTATCATTTGATAGCTTGGAACTTGTAGATTATGGCAATATAACTCAAGAATGATTTTAGATCAGACTAATTAACTTAAGAACGGCCTGAAAAGCGCGGAGGATGGGCGTGGCCGTCACCCCCTTCTTTTCATTTTTGCTGATACCGTTCTAACGCAACAGTAGAGGAGAAAATAAAACCAGTTTCCATTGATGCCTTAACACTCATGGAATATAAAAACATAACTTAAGGGTGGTTTTAGGTTTGACTAATTACCTTAAGAGCGGCGGGAAATGCGCAGAGGGGCGGGGCCTCAACCCCCCACCACGTACATTTTGGCTCCTATCGTCGCAAGGCATTTGTTAAATCCTGCCAAGTTTTTTTCACAGCTGTTCTGATGTCTTGCAGTAATGGTAACACCAAGTTTATGAAAATAGGGCATAACTTGGTCATAAAATGTCCATTTTCCAACACAGGTAGTACATGGACATGAAAGCGTGCATGACAGTGCTGTCTAACAGATTGAATTGAAATTGTGCAAATGTACTACAAAATTTAAATTGGTAAAATGAAACCATTTTTATTGATGCTTTGGCACTGGTGGAATATGAAAATATAACTTAAGAGTTCCTTTTGGTCAAACTAATTAATTTAAGAGCAGCGTCAACAGCGTGGAGGGGGCGGGGCTACAACCCCCCTCTGAGAACATTTTGGCTCCTACAGTCGCAATGCATTTATTAAATTCTGCCAAGTTTCTCTGATAGTTGTCCTAATGTCTTGCGGTTATTTTGACACCAAATTTATGAATATAGGGCCTACCTTCGCCACACAATATTCAAATACCAAAACAGGTATAAGCTAATGTTAACTTTTCCATTCAACGTTCCATAACGTACATCGGAGGGCGCATGAGAGTGCCGACTGACTTTAAATGACCACAACAACAAAACATTTCAACAGGTTGAATTGAAACTTCACAGATGTATTATACTGATATTCCATTATCCATTAAAATAATTCCCGATGTGGGGAGAGCATTTCAGATTTTCGTTGTCCTGGGACAGTTCAATTAACTTTGTTAACCTTAGCATTTTTATTCTGATTTATGACCTTTGCACGGAATCAAAGTAGCCAAAGCGCTTTACCCAACCATGAAACATTATTTCAAGTTCACGATAACCAGCCACATTTTGTAACCCTTTTACCAAACTCACTGGTGCATTGTTGTAACTTTGTCTGACTAGCTTCTTTATGCTAGCTTCTTTATGCATGCAATTTATGCATGCTCTGTTGCGCCGGGCATGAAAACAGGGGACATGGGTATCAGATACTCTAAATAACTAAATCGTCTTTGGGTCTTAATTCGCGAGATCCTGTAGAACAATAGTCAAAACTAGAGGTTGTAGGAACAACCACACGATGTTGGGCCATGGATTACCGCAAACTTTGCCACACACAATCAAAATATGCATGTTTAAATCCATGTTTGACGTTTTCAACATGCCGCCAGAGGGCGCTCTAACATTTGATGACGTCACCTGTAAAATTGTTGTACAGTACTGCCTAGGCAGACACTCACATCATTGAAAGCAAGTTCGCATCTTCTGCCATTTCAAATAATAAGCCACTTTCGGTTTCAACCGGAAGGAAGGGTCACGTGATTTTGCACTTAATACCGAAAATTACGACCCTGCAATATTGTATCAATTGCCATAAAAAACAAAATCAAATCTGTAGCAGTTGATTTTATATTGATTTTTAAAGATTGAATCTAGAAATCTTTGATTGCTTGTAATATGATACTTGATGACGTCATTGTGACGTTATTACCAGAAAGTTCAAGAGCTATTTTAACTGTGCTATATATAGCCAAATCTTGATTATATTTATCACGGTTGATTTTTTAGCAATTTTTGAAGGTTTAAAGGTCTATTTATTGTAACTTCCGATCTGATGACGTAATCATTTTTTTTTCGCGCATAGGTCTTGTCTGCATTAAGGTCATCATGAACATTAATTTTGAAGCGAATACTGCAAACTTCGCCACAGACATACCTGCCGCTAGAGGGCGCTCCAAATCTTCATGGTGTCACCCATTACTTTTTTTGAAAGATCAATCCAGGCAAACACTTACATCTTTAAAAGCGAATTCATATCTTTTTCCACTTTCAAATTATTAGGCACTTCTGGTTTCGACCGGAAGGAAAGGTCACGTGATTTTACGCGCACAAGATAAAATGAAGATGTATTATTATGTTGATTCCCACAAAATTCAAGTTCCGGTCTGTCAAGGTTGATTTTATATGGAATTTCAAAGATTAAATCTATTAAACTTTCAAGTGATGTCACGTGACCCTTGATGACGTCATAATGACGTAATTACAAAAAAAGCACATCTTCAGTGGATTGTGCATTCATGTATTGACAAATGAAGTTCATATATGTTTCCAGTTTTCCAAACAGTTCTGGAAGTGAATTGTGTCTTGGAGAATAATAATAACATTGAACCCATACAAAAACAATAGGTGTTGGGCTTAAGCCCAACACCTAATAACATTGAACCCATACAATAAAAATAGGTTTTGGGCTAAAGCCATAGAGCTATATTAAATTACTAGAGCGCTAACTTCGTGTACAAAGTAATGCCTGCTGGGCGCATCCATGTTTGTGCACAAACCTATGGAGACCTAGAAATTTTGTACGGCTTTTGTACGGCTATTTGCATCTGAGTTTGTGTTCCATACCGGTGCGTTATCGAAGCCAATACGCCCAAAATCAAAATGCACGATCAGCAAATGAGCGTGTCATTTTGCTCTACGCAAACAACGCAACGCGTGCGCGTATTCGCTGCAGATGCTTTTTGTCGTCACGTTTATTTGAACCGTCAATGACGACCAGGAGGGCTTC